TTATAATTTGTACAATTAACCTCCATGTGGTTCGACCCTGGTCTTGCCGGGTTATTTATTACTTCGACACTCCTGCACTTGGGAGAAGACATCAATCTTTTAGTCGTGTCACCAGCGGAGTACACACAACTCAAAGCGTCTCAAGTACAACAAAAAACAGAGTATGAACAACAAAAGGCAGCTTATGAACAGCTCCGTGAAATGGTTATGAACATGGCAAATAGTGGAACATGTGCGCCTAATCCTTTTTGGCCGTATAACCACCAGCCTCCTCCAGGATCTCCTCGTCCTCCTCCAGCTCACCTTTATATTAATTTGTAATAAACATTATTTAACTTTAAAACTTCATTTAATATTTTTTTTGAAACATATTTAGTTTGTAATGAATATTATTTAACTTTTTTTTTTGTTTAATATAAATTTTATTTGCATAATTGGTTTGTATTACAATTAATTTATATAGTTTTATATTATATATCCTAAATAATTTTTTAAAAACAAATTTAGAAAAAAACAATCACCAACGATTTTACCGACCGATTCACTCGATCGGTATTTTAAACACTCACCGACCGACTTACTAACAGAATTACTCCGTCGGCATTTAACAGTAGCTGCCACACTTACCAACGAATTTACAAACAGATATATTTGGTCGGTATTTCACACACTCACCGACCGACTTACTGACAGAATTACTCCGTTGGCATTTAACAGTAGCTGCCACACTTACCGACGAATTTATAGATGGATATATTCGATCGGTATTTCATACACTCACCGACAGCCTTACCGATGGTTAGTTTCCATCGGTAAATCATGATATCACCGATAGAATACAAATCCGTTGGTATATTTCAAGCGGGAAGTTTTTTTTTTTGCACATGCAAATTCTGTCTGTAGAACCATCGCAAATGGTTTTTTTGTTTTGCCGACCGATATAGCGACGGAATGTTGAATCACCGATGAAAGGTAACCCGACGGACATAATCCGTCGGTGATGATGCAGGTAAAAAAATCACCAATGAACTTCTAATCACACATCGACGGAATTATTCCGTCGGTAAAACTGTGAAATCTTGTAGTGAGTTAGATTGAATCAAGAAATGTGATGGATGAAGTTTTTAGAAAAATAATTTTTTTAGTTATTTTTTTTTCATTTTTAGTTTATAAATTTTATTTTTTATTCAATATTATTAAATTTCTCAAGTTTTTTCAATATAAAATATCATAATAAATTTTTTATAAATAGACTTTGATAAATAAAAATTAAATATTTTAAATGTTTTATCATGTTATTAAATTTTATAAGTATTGACTTGTAATTTAATTATCTTATCCTTCATTTACAACTATGTCAAATTGCTTCAAGCAAGTCCGGGCATTAGCACAGGTCTTGGTCAAGAAATTCAAGTAGGCATCTAGGGGATTTCATGACACCTATCATTTTAACAGTTTATGTCAGTCCCTCGTATTCTATCCTGCAGGAAACACTGTGGAAGCCGATCATTTTAAATGGACTCTATAAATAGCCTCCATAGGTGTTCAATCTCCTCATAGAAAAGCCTTTTAGACTCTAACAATCCTCATCAACATACACCCTTCGCACGCCTTATAAAGTCTCTCAACAACCACTTCAAACTCTTTCAATCCTTCGTGAAAATGGATGTGGTGAATGTAATGATTCAAGGAAAGCCAGTCGTGATTTTCAGGAAGAGTTCTTGTTGCATGAGCCACTCCGTCGAGTCACTTATACGTGGATTTGGAGCAAACCTAACTGTTTATGAGCTCGACAGAATAACAAATGGACATCAAATTGAAAGGGCACTAGTGCAGCTGGGGTTTCGACAGAGCTTACCCGCTGTGTTCATAGGCCAGCAGCTGGTTGGCAATGAAAGGCAGGTGATGAGCCTCCACGTCCAGAACCAGCTAGTACCATTGCTTATACAAGCAGGTGCTATATGGATGTGGAATAAGTAGTTTCTTACTGACATATATAGGGCACGGATCAATATCATGCTGCTGAACATTTTGATAAGCTACTATTTTTTTTTTGTTTTCAGTTTTCCCGAAGTAAGCGAAACGTGATAAGAGGCACGGCTCAGGACCTCTTTCTGATTTTAAATTTTCATTACAACATCCATGCATCTATTCTGTGTCTAACAAGGATGCACTACTTTTGTTACTTTCCTCGGGCTCAAAATAAAGCATTTGGGTGCACATACGGGTGTGTGAGATAAAGAGCATGAGCATTTTGTTTGAGGATAACAAGGGCGGGGAATTAGACTTGTGAAGGTGAACATTTCCCAACCTTTTTTTTCAATAAATGAGAAATTTCATTAGTAAAGCTGTTCATGGTTGTCATTGCCAAGGTGACACAAGTTAGAGTACATAGCATTTGTGATCGCCACCTAAAGAAGCTTAGTGCCATACAATCTGTGCTGGACTTTGCACAGTTTTCCTGACAATCATTCATTCTGTGGCACAACCTGAATCGTGGAGTTAATTTGTTGTAGCTTACATTTCATATGGAATGAATGTCAGAAACACGCTCCTGATTAAAATTGCTGGAAATTTCGTCTATTGCTGATGTTGTTTAACCTATTGTAATTTAGTCACCCAGCAGCAGCTTCCATTTCACAAAATTGCAGCAGAATCCGCCATGCTTTTTAGTTCGATAGCCATTTAAAAAACATGTGCTCACGAAATATGATCTTGATTTCTCTGCTTTTGGTATTTAATTCGGTAGCTAGACAATAAAACCATGTCTTGAAAAATGCATTAGCCCTCAAAGTAGCCTTTAAATTTCTACGATGTCAGCAACCGTCTCGCGTTTTTCTTTTCGTCATATTCCATCTGGATGATCCTAGATGACTCACAAATTAAGCTGCTTGATGAATTCCAATAAGTTATACTTATCTTCTCTGTCATTTTTCTGTCTACTGCATGCCGCAGTACATGGAGAAAAGAAACGAAACGAAGGGGTTCAACAAAATTTGTGCCATACATCAAGAAAATTTAATGTTCCATGCCATAAAAAAGGGATTCATTTTAATGAAATGAAAGCTCTAGCTCCAATTTAATCTACAATTGTTAAGGTTTCGATAACTGTAGACTTATTAATTATGATAATTACAAGCTTATGTCATTATATATACATAGCATGCATCGCCTATATGTTATACTAACCATGAATACTGGTAACTCAACTGAAGCAAAATGTTTACAAGTGACCCTGCCAACGTAGCGTTTGGCTTTTATTATATCAAGATCAGGGCAGTTACGCAACAGGAACCTCCTACTTTCTATCAACTTTTCTTTCCAGGCAGAAACAGGGCAAGTAGCATGTGTGTCATAGTTATGAGGATATTTTGAATGCTAAACCCTACAAAAGAGGAAAACGAGGTGATGCATATATGATTGGTAGTTCTGTTTTATTTAAATCCATAAGAAAAGGTGACAATGATTGAACTGGCTAAAGATGTGTATGCTTGAATTCTCTAGATACTATTTTGTTTATTCTTTCTACACGGGGAATATCTTTCGATCACCATGTCTTCCACGAATTTTAAAAACTTAAGCACCGTATTAAATGCGGTGTGCTGCACATAATCAGTATATCTAATTCCTGGAATTTTCCATTAGCAGGTAGAGTAGTGAGCTTCATAATTAGGAAAATTCAAAAGAGTTCAAGAACACTATCAGAAATCCATGAATACAAATGAAATTATCAACAGATTTTTTCCATTACTATTTCTTGGTAATATTTACTGACTAAATTTTTTCCATAGCTAACTTCGTCGATATTTACTGAAAAAAATATGTTGTTGCTATATTCCGAGAAAATCTTCGTCAAAATGAAAGGAGTTAAAGAAACCCAAATAGTACAATAACGTGTAAGTTTTTGCGGATCCGTTACCGATGGAATTACAGTTGGATACAAACAGGGAAGCCCATACAATGATATGTCACTTATACTGAAAGAATTGTCAGCAGATTGATGGACAGAATAATTTTGTCGGTAAATTCATCAGTAATAGTTAATATATGATCTGACCATCGACCCTCCCCTCCCCTCCCCTATTTCTTCTTCTTCCTTGAAAACCTTATTGCAACAAAACAAACAACCCCCCTTCCCCTCATCTCAATACAACTCACCATTCCTCAACTTTTCCAATTACAATAACACTCTGTTTGATAGCATTCATGTTCTAATTGAAATTTTATTACAGAATTTTTCATTTTAAGTAAGCAAATCTACCACTTTTTTATTTGAACATAATTTTAAAATGTAAATTTTTTTATTGCATATTTTTGTAGTATATGTATTTTGTTGGGGTGTTTGCTTGTTTTATTGTTTTTTCTCAAACAAACTTCTTATATGGATTTTTTATTTTCTATATGTTATAGTTTGTTTTAGAGTTTGTAAAATTATATTTGTTTGTAAATTATTGAAACTTATGTTGAATTACTAACTTAGGTGTGTTGTGATGATGGCTTGTTTAACAAGTTCATTTTATATTTTGTTAATTTTATTGCCGAGTTGTAATTTCTGTAAATGTGTACAAATTTATATATACGTAGATAATTGATAATGAATTAAGAGAAGCATTAAAATAAGTTGGATAATCTTTAACTAAACCAATATTTTTGCAAAATTATTTGTTGTGATGATGGCTTGTTTAACAAGTTCATTTTATATTTTGTTAATTTTATTGCCGAGTTGTAATTTCTGTAAATGTGTACAAATTTATATATACGTAGATAATTGATAATGAATTAAGAGAAGCATTAAAATAAGTTGGATAATCTTTAACTAAACCAATATTTTTGCAAAATTATTTGGTTAATGTAGTTAATTAATACATGTTGTCATCATTATTGATATAGGTTCGATAGAAGTCATCCAATAGAAGTTATGAATGTATCAAGATTAACGTCAAGGCTTGTAGAGGATGGATTATTATAATAGGGTTTAGGATTTTATTAATTCGCAACATCTAATCCAAGAAATATTAATAGAGGCAATATTAGGTGTCCAAACAAAAGGTGTCAAATAAAAAGTCTCTCAATCTAGATGTTGTAATGATGCATCTTCTACATAAAGTATTCATAGAGGAACATTTTTATTGGTATACACACAAAGAACCATTTGTTACTCATGAGACCATTTGTATGGAGTTGTAAATGACAACAATAATTCTTATAAGACTATGGTTATGGATGCAATGACAATGAATTTGGGTTATGGTAGTCAACAATCAATCATAGATGAAGAACCTAATGTAGACTGACACGACGAAAAGATTGTTGTCTTCTCCCAAGTGCAGGAGTGTCGAAGTAATAAATAACCCGGCAAGACCGGGGTCGAACCACAAGGAGGTTAAGTGTATAAATTATAGATGACAACAACAACAACAACAACAACAACAA